AACCCGGTCCAAACCCTGTTCTATGTGTTAAGGTCACTACAGTCACTACAATAACGGTCCCAAGCCCAATCAGCCTACTGACAGCTCCAGCACTCCGACTTTAACCCGACAGCAGTTTGAGGCCTGAACACGACGACTAGGACTACTACTACCACCACCACCACCACGACCACGACCGCGACCACTACCACGACCACTACCACCACCACCACCACCACCACGACCACGACCACGACCACGACCACGACCACTACCACTACCACTACCACTACTATCACTACCACTACCACCGCTACGACTGCCACTACCACCACTACGACTACTACCACTACGACGACGACGACTACTACTACTTCCCTGTCCTACTACTGCTACCTCCTGCCACTGCCACTGCCACTACTCAGAGTAATGTCTCTGTCTGCTACGGCGTATAAAAACATGGCTGAACTCTGTGCACTAGTCATGTGTCTCCGCAGAACTAAGGCATGGGCAGGCCGCTCGGTGGCATCCTTCGCCACGGCACCTCTGAGGTTTCTGTGGGTTTAAACCTATCAAAGATTGTATTGCAGGGAGATGCCGAAAGCATCGGGAGCCTGGAACTGCGGCTGCGCTGCCGCTGCCATGCATTTCTGCCGGCTCCTCCAAGACCAGGGGCGAGCCAGGCTACAGGCTCTTTGAGGGAGCAGCTCGGGTTGAAGACAGAGCCTTGATGACGAAGAGCATTTGATGGACGGTTACTTTTACATCCTTTACAGTGTTCCGAGGTTTACAGTTGACGGGCATTTCCGTGACGTTCCGGCGTTGCACTCCCTTCCTCTGCTTTCTCCTGAGACCCGAGACTGATCCGTGTTTGCGCCAGAAGCTTCATCGAATGACAAACCTCTGTAAATCCGCAAGCTGCCCGAAACTTCGAATGATCGAATCTCAAGCCTGAATATCACTGAAAGCAGCCCTGCGGCCTGAAACTCTAGACTCTCGACGAGCCTGCTTCAAGTCTTCCGAGCCGCAGACTCCGTAGTCGCTGTTCCGATCGACAGGGGATGCCTCCAAGACTTCAAGCGGCTTCGACACAAATGCTCTGCGCATCTGAGATCAAGGAATGAAGAGCAGCGTGAAACAGCTTGCTGTTTGAATGCCTTGTCCGCATGCTCGCTGCTCCGTTCAAGCGGCAATCGCGGCGATGCCTGCATGGCTGCCGGCAGCAGTGGTTGAGGGGAGCTTTGTCTGACTGCCCGGATGGGCGTGCATTGAGGTCTGAACTGTGTGCTGTGAAGGGTGCCCGGTCGGTGTGACAAACCGCCCTCCACCAACAAAAAAGAAGGGCCTCTGCCGTCGGGATGCTCGGCTCGCTCGGGACTGCCTCGGCCTCTATAGGCTCCGCCTTGGCCTTTGGGCAGGAAACGTGTTGGGAAAATTGGAGTAAAATTGCGCTGCGAGGACTGAGGAAGCATTGGCAGGTCAACGTCCAGCCCGCAAAGACCTCCCGCAACGGGCCCGACGACTCTAACACGTCCGTCAGGTTCGAGTATCTGTTGCCTCAGTCTCTCACATACTTCTTCAGGATTGCGAGACTTGAGTGCGATCACGCGCGGAATTTCAAGACTGGAGCTTGAGCAGGATTCTTCGGGGCGGCTTGCTGCCTCATGTCATGCCCGAAGCTGTGTGCGACGAGTTTAGAGCATGAAGCATCATGCTGAAGGCACCAAGACATGTTAAATCATTGAAAGAAATGTTCTCTGTCACTGCATGGCTACCCGTGTCAAGGAAATCCCCACGCCGATCACTTTCAACCGGCAACGCCATCTGAAGCCCGCGCCCTCTCCCAACCCCCCCCCCCCACCTCAGCCCAGTTCGCCTCCAAGGAGGAGGGAACGCATGCAGTGATTTCTGGACCTGGCAGCTTGCAGCGTGTCAGCTTGAAGTGTTCGAGCTCGTCAGGTTCAGGGCTTCGACACGACAGATCAAGGTGAACGAGGAGTGTGTGTATGTGCGTGTGTGTGTGTGTGTGTATGTATGTATCAAAGAGATCCGTGTGACCTCAGCTTCAACGAACCAATCGCCACCAGATCCCCGCCCATCCGGCCTTCCTGCTGGCTGTGTGCCTTGTCCTCGAGCTTTTGGGAAGGAAGCTCCTGCCCAGTGGACCGATTATGCAATGCGTGTGTCGGTCAATAAATGTCCTTCACATGCGTCCGACCAACAACGGAAGATGGCTGGACAACTCAAACGAAGAGAGTAAAACTGCAATCTAGTGTCTAGTGATACTTATGAGCCCTCCGGGTTGAAAGATGTCCAGTCTACAGATTAAGGCTGACGAAGCTTGGGCGTAGACAGATCTATGTTATGTCCTGCCAATCCCCATCCAGACACTCCCGCGACGAGGTGTAGGACCCTCAACCTTGCCGGCCTGACCGGGTATGAAAGCTTAGAGCTTGGGGTTTCAGAAACCTAAACCCTGAACCCCCAAAACCGCACCGTCCTTTTAGCTTACAGTTCGGCCTTTTAAGGGTGCAGGAACGCGAAACGAGGACCGGCCTGCACCTCCACCTCCTGAGCAGTCAAGGCTGTCGGACTGCGTACGTATTTCACGGGTTTGTTGCGGGCTTTGGTGCTGGTTGAGGCTTTCAGGTCGACGGTTTGGCTTACGGCTCTGGCTCACTTTGCCATGCGGTGCCTCAACCCAAAAACTTCATGCGCAGCCTTTCCAGATGGCAGCACGCCCAGACCAGAAAGGCTTGAAGGCCCAAGCCCGATCATGCTGGGTCTCAAAGCCGAGGGTACTCAAAAGAAAGTCTGAGCCAGCAGAATTATGGGAACAAAGCTGAAGCTAATCTTGACTTGCAACCCTACTTCTGTGATGACCGACGAGCCCCAAACCGGTCTGAAAGCAGACCGCCGAAGGCGTACGCCCCTGAACCCGAAACCCTTAAATACATCTAACAGGCACTCGGGGTCCATTAGTAGCCGAAGTGGCAATAGTCATGGCAGTAGCAGTAGCAGTAGTAGTAGTCGTCGTCGTCGTTGTCGTCGTCGAAGTCGTACGTTTTAGTAGTGGTAGTGGCATTGGCAGCGGTGGTGGTACTAGTAGTGGTAGTAGTTTTGGTAGTGGTAGTGGTAGTGGTAGCGGTGGTGGCAGTGGCAATGGCAGTGGCAGTGGCAGTGGTAGTGGTTGTGGTTTTGGTAGTGGTAGTGGTAGTGGTAGTAGTAGCAGCAGCAGTAGCAGTAGCAATAGTAGTAGTAGTAGTAGTAGTAGGAGGAGGAGGAGGAGGAGGAGGAGCAGCAGCAGCAGCATTGGTAATAGTAGCAACACCAATATCAATAGTAATAATAGTCTCGACAGGAACACTAGTAGCAATAGCAATAGTAGATTGGCAGTAGCACCCGTCGCCGTAGTAAAAGTAGTAGTAGTCGTCGTCGTCATCGTCGCAATCACAGCAATGTGCAAAGCAGGCTGCTGCCTCATGCACCTCGTCTACCACCGCTACTAAGTCACTACTACGGCTCTGTCGTCAAAGCTTCCACTTCGGGATTGAACAGGTGGCAATGATACTGTCCTTGGCATCTGTAGACTTCGATGCCTACATGCACTAACTTGCTCGCTTGTCTGTTTGCTGACTTACTTGAGTATTGACTTAATTTTGTCTTACTTACTTACATGCTTACTTCCTAACTTTTCTTACAGCATACAAGCTTGCTTGCTTGCTTGCTTGCTTGCTTGCTTGCTTGCTTGCCTACGTGCATGTTTACATAATTTACATACTTACATGTACATATGCAATGCGTATGTACCTACATACACACGTACAAACCGCACAGACACAACTACATAAATACATACGGCCACACATTCATGCATGAATGCATGTATACCTACATACCTCTATAGATATGTCGCCAAGTCTCAGCACAGCTTTCTCGACACGAGCTTCGATGTCCAATCAAAAGTCGCAGGCATGCTCAGAACCCCAAGGTGTATCGGGTGTTGAAACACTCAACAACTTCTCAGTCAAGTGAACATTCATGTGTGGATAACGTTGGTTTCGGTACAGCGCGACGTCGCGCTTCCCATCTACAAATCTCTAAACCAGGATGACTCTGATCACTCCTGCTCTAACCTTTCGCTTCCTCCCAAACAAGCAAAGTGAGTTGAGATGCATTCCGTTCCCCACATGCTTCCAATCTGTCGGATTCAAGCCGACGGCGGCAACCCGGACCACCTCGGAATCAGCTGCGACTGCCGGGGGGAGTGTAGCAGCTGAATCCAAGTCCACGTCTTTGCTGCCTACATGCGCAGCCGAAAATTGAACACACTGGCAGCAGTAAAACAACCTGCAAGGTCGTGGGCCTGTGGTTGTTGGGATTAGGCTTACTTGCGTCTTTTGCGACACGAACATTTCGAGGAACAGGGTGAACATGCTACATGGGCATTTGTTTGGATGCTGCTGATTCTTGAAGTAACAATTTGGGAACTGATGCTCGAGTTAATGCTCCTGCTTCGGATGTGCCTTTCATCACGGTGATGATGCCGAGAATCATTATGATCATGAATCATGACGACTGCAGGAGCACAAGCATCTACGCAGCCTGCACACACAATAGGAAGGTCTGGAACTGCAGATTTTGCCAGGCCTGGGATTCCGCATCTTTTTGTCGAAACTTGCCTCGCTATAACCCCGCGTTGCTGCAGACACCAGCGGCCGACGCAACCCGGAACCAAAGCTAACTCCTGCAACAACTTGCATCTTAGCAAAAAAAACTCGTGAAACGACTGGTGCGACGACTACCAAGCCACCCGATAAGGCTCCTGCCGCCAAGAAGCACAACTGCCTGGCTGTGCTTTGGGCGCCGGCTGCTCCAACAGCTCACACCCCGCGCTGGCACCCTTGGAGCCCCAAGCTTTGATGCTACCTGGGATTGCAGCGTTTCTTTTCGTTACCGGTGGTTCCATAAGTATTGACAAGGTTGCCGTTGCTTGAAAGGCATCGAACTGTGGATTGCGTAGATGAGATTCAGGGCTCAGGCAACATGATGTACGAAGCAAGCTTACGGCTTGGTTCGTTCTAAAACCGCAACCCTAACCCCCGAATCCTCTTCATGGTGGTTGGCACGACGGCAACCCATGGAACTCAAAACAGGTCACCGTCGCCGGCGGGCTGTAGCAAAATTGTTCAAAAAAATTCAACGACACGTCACCAAGGGTTTGAAAACCCGAAGCCTTGAGTTCTGTACAGTTAGCTCAGAACCAGCAGTTGAGGCACCCAGTGGTTCGTAGCCAACGCGCGCCATGCTTCAGGTGTCAAGCCAGGTGAGCTGCAAGAAGAAAACGAGACCACATAATTCCGGCTTGCACACACAATCCCTATCATGTACAATACGAAATATGAGAAGTTTGCACATGCATCTCGGGGTTGCAAAGTCTGGAGGTGGAAACAGAACTGCGGCTGCAACGACTATGACCAACACTTGGCATTGTGTGGTCAAGTTCAATCTCCACTACGTGCATTTTGAAAACCATTGTGCCAATACTGTCGACATGATCGTCAACATTTCATCATTATCTCAGTGCGCTTCTTGGTTCGTCACTGGGTGGGACACTAAAACACTTATTTCTCCAAGCGCGATTTTATTGTACTTTATTTTGCTCTATTATTGTTTGTTCTATTTTGTTCTATTCTAATTATTCTACTTTGTTATTTATTCTGTATTATTTTGTTTGAGTCTATTTTGTTCTATTTTATTCTATTTTATTGTATTTTCATTTATTTGATTTTATCTGATTTTACTTATGCATATATGCAAACACATAAAAACACTATTAGCATTTCCAGGTTCTCCATTTAGCATCGCAGTGTTTTGGCGTACTGCGGCTTCATGATGTGACACAATCGCTCGATCCGCAAACAAATGTCTCAAAATGCAAATGACTGTACAGGGATGGCGTTGAAATGAAGCCTAGGATGATTGTCGATCGTCGTGCACACCAAATTTTTTTGGGCGGCCCTATGCACTCATCGACCATCTTGTGAGAACAACGATAGAATAGAACAAATGAGTTTGGTGCGGGGATATCTTGCATGTTGGCAAGAGACCTTCACATTCTTCAACAAAGCGTTTCCACTGTGGAGACAAGAAAAACTGCAAAGGCACACAAGAGCCACAACTATACTGACTGTACAGTGGCCTGTGAAGGGCTTCTAGTCAGAACAGTTCCACGTACCGCCATGCCGCACGCCTGCTGTGCCGAGTCCAGCGCTGCCACAAACGACATGCCGTGTCCAGCTGCAGTCAGTTTGCCAGTCGAGATCCACATGACGGGGCAGAATCGCATGGCTGAGATATTGAGCATCGCTTCGTTCAAACATGTTCACACGCGACAGTGATGCAAGTCTGCTGCGAAGGAGACCGCTGCCCGTCTGGAGTCTTCTTGCGAGCATCCAAAAAAATTTGGGCGCGCAATCTGGTGTCTGCTTCGTTCGACGTTCGACACGCAAGGAACACACTGGCAGCGTGCCCCCGCCTCGCAACCTCAGGTTCAGGTGGGCTCCTTGACCCCAACCTCTAACCCGCCCCTGCGAGGCATGCTCAAAGTGGGACCTGTTCAAGCAAGGCACTTGGAAGCTGACGGCAGCGCTCAAGAAAGAAAACAAGCGCAGAACGCATTGACACCGTCACAAAATAGTCTCCAAGCAAGCACCAACATCGCAACCCTTCGGAACCAAAAACTTGGCTGCTTGGATTTTTGAGTGCCTTTTGCTCTTCCGCAAGGACGTTGGACGAGGAAGAGATTGCAGCAAGTATCCAAGTGACTAAATGCGTTTCAAGAGCGTCTGTGAAAAGCGAACAATAGTTGTTGTGGTTGCTTGGTTGTGTAGTGTTGACTGAGAGTGGTTGCT